CAGCTTAGCAGAACCTCTATTAAATCTAGCATTATTTGTAATTTGTCTGAAACACAGTAAAAAGACTTTGTACAAAGCTGGTGAAATAGCTTAATATTCTTCAGGTCCAATGCCCATGACTGCAATAAAAAACAAAAACTAGAATAGCCAATTTATTCACCTATTGCTATATTGCGAGGTGATATCATTATCGGTATATTTTGGGCTTGTTTCTTAATACTTAAAACTTTCCAAAATTTCTTTAACATACTTGTCTTACTTTGCTCTGAAAAAGTTACTCAGAAAAGATTCTTTTCCATAAATTGTAAAAAACAAAAAATTAAAAAAAAAAACAACATTCCACATACAGAGAAGTAGAGAAAATAGAGTTTCAGGTACCAATCAAAAGTCTTCAACAGTATCTTGTCTATTTTACCATCTATATTATTTTAAAGTAATCTCGATTAACACTTTCTTCTTCCACTGGCACTGAGAAGTGAACCTGGAAACTTTGCACTGAGCTTACCTAAGCCTCACCTCTTAGACCTTTTCGTATTTTTTGAGACAGGCTCTCACTCTGTCACTAAACTGCTGTCTGGGCTTGAAATTGTGCTTCTCCTGCCTCAGCCTCCTCAACACTCAGCTTATAGGCCAGTGCTACTATGTCCAGTTAAGAATGCCTGTTCTATATTCAAAAATCTGTGCTAAATCATAAGATATGGTGACAAATCTCTCCATCCTAGTATGTAATCCTCTGTGCAATACAATGCTGCCAATCTGCCCAGAATAAGGCAGTCTTGTTTTCCCAACTTTTTAATGTAGACTACTAGCCTAGTGAGATTTACTTGCAGTACAATGTAAGGAACATTTTATAATTTGAAAAGATTGTAAGAAATCTTGTAGCCTCCATTTTCCCTCCACTGATATTATCCTGAGATGCTAATGTCATTAAAGATTACATGGAGCAAGATGTAGATGTTAATGAACACAGTCAGACATGTGAGTGATAACACTTTGTTCTTCCCATCTAAAGGGAAATTCTCCAGCTCAATGTTAGTACAAGAATGAACCCATATAAAACCAGCATAACTTCCCAACAAGCACTGAGAATTGTGAAAAATAGTATAGTTTTAATTCACTACGTTTTACGTGGTTTGTCATATATCAATAGAGCAAGATTTGTGATTTATCATAACTTTACTTTCCCATTACCATACCATTTCTGCTCCCAGCCTCTATGAAAAACCTGATTTTAATTGGGTCTGATTCAAATACCGTCTTAGGTATCAGAGGAAATTAATGAATTACCAAGAGCACACTATATGATAAATTTATGGCCTGGGGGCCAGAGTAAACACACAAAATACTAATGTATTTCAACAACCACAATCTTTCAGAAATAATTACAATTCCATTACTTACCTGTAGTTTTCATATGATTTTCTTAAAAAAAAAAAAAAAAAAAAAAACTTTTAGAGAAAACATTTTTCTCTATTGAAAACTATTCTAGGGGCTGGGGATTTAGCTCAGCGGCATAAGCGCGCCTGCCTTGCAAGCAGGCAATCCTGAGTTCGATCCCTGGTACCGATAAAAAGGAAAAAAAAAAAAAACTATTCTAGTGATCCCAGTGAATTCTGAAACATGGAAGCCACAAGTGGTCAAATAAGGGACGCACTCTGAGCAGAAATTTGGAGAGCCTTTTAAAAAATGTCTAGACTTTTGGTTCACATTATTTAAATCTTAAAAAAAAAGCAAGTATGAAACTAGGCAAGTAAAATTGAACAGCTCCATGGGAAAATGTAACTCCCATGTTGTCCACAGTACAGCACTTTTGAGATAACCGACTTCTCAAAATTAATAAAATTAGTATATTCTGTAGGTATCAATTTCAATCTTTATTCAGTAAGTAAAAACCTTTTTAGCGTTCTTTCTGGAAACACATGATAACTAGCTTTAAAGGTTCAAATCGTGCCATCTTTCAAAGTCGCTGATGGAAATGGGTGAGAGCACTAGATCATTTTAAAACCAGGTGTTAGCTTATCTAGTCTAACCAGTAGTCATACAGAAATATATTTGAGAACAGGAAAAACCAGCTTTGACCACATTAAAGCTTAAGTCAGAGCTGAAAACTAAAAATTAACATCAGTGAAAAATGACACCTCAGCCAACTTTCAAAAATTATGCCTATCCTTTTTTGGATTCATCTTACAATTATGTACTTTATTTAAGATAGCTTTTGTGAAGTAGTGATTTCTAATTAGGTAAATTCACTGTAAAGAGAATTCTGTTTCAGTGAATTCAAATAATCTTAGTAGGAACTCAAAATCTTTTTCATTTTAAACTGTAATCACTGTAATGTGATTCATTGTTCATTTAGTTATTTAACAGTTAAAAAGTCCATTAGCTAAATATGTTGCATAAAAATGAAATTTGACACAAGACTAAATATTTTTTTATTACTAGAACTTATCTGTGGTAACAGAAGATAGTTACCAGCCAAGAATCTAAAAATCATTTTTATTAGACTTAGGGATATGATACTCTCTATTCCATAGCATAGTGTTCTAATTTTCTGATAGTACACAGATCTTTCATGTCAAGCTCTAACCTTTCATTCATTCAATTTACTATTCATCCGTGGGAATCAAACTGTCACTTCTTAAAAGAAATTATATGATGACTTTGCAGTTTTCTTATCGGAGTCCTAAGTTACCCTTTACATTAGTTTAGGCAATGTGTCTTGTAAAATTTTCCCCTCAAATGAAGCAATCCTCATTTATGCTCCCACTATATACCACACTGAGAATTACAGTAATTGTTTACTATTGGTCTAATGACCTCAAACTCTTTCTTCCATTGTGAAGCCATAACCTAGTAGTCAGACAACGAACTACACACTATCAAAAGATGTCTGACATTTGGTATGTTTTACTTTATAAAATTACTGTCCTAGAACATTAAAATGTGGGCAACTCTTGAACATTCACCAGATGAAGAAATGTGTGCAATGGATATGAAGATTACTAAATACTGGCTACATGAGTGAACAGGTGACTACGCTCTCAAGTTTATAATATGATACATCAGGTAGACCGAGCGTCTTTTTGCTTTATGTGGGACAATAAACCTCTTGCCAACATGGCAGGAAAAAAAAAAAATCACTTGTAAGTAGTAATTCTTAAAACATCTGACTCAAGGTCAGGGCTATTTATTAATTACATAGCTTAGTGACAGAGTAGGTGCTTATCATGAGCAAGACCCTAGGCTGGATAAAAGAACATCTAATCCATTGGGAAACTGAAAAGAACTCAAGACTATATATTCCACTATTTAAAGCTGCAGGAAGTTCTTACCTTCAAAAAAAAAAATGCAGTCAACTTTTAAGGTTGTATTAACCAGAATGTTTGTTTATAAACAACTAGACATTTCAGCAGCCAATTCCATTTGTTTGTATTCATTTAAAATTCACAGTATATCTTCTGAATTGTTGACTGCTTCACACACTTTTTCATCTAATTTAAACCTCATTTGACATCTAGGAATTTACTGCTGTGTTTCTGAGGAAATCTAAAAAGGTTAAATAACTGGCAAAAGCCAGGCATTGTAGGCCATAATCGAGCACCTGGGTGGCTGAGGCAGGAGGATCCCTGCTAAAGAAGTCTGCCTCACATAGCAAGACCCTGTTCTCACAAACAAAACACCACTCTGACCTGGATCTCCTGACTATTTCAACTGACTCACTACAACTGTTTCAAGAAATTCTGTAGCAGCTGTAAATTAAAATACTGGCTCCATTTCCCAAAAAAAATTTTTGTTACCTCATGAGCATATCCGGTTACACTATGTACCTCCTTATGTTATTCTGATGCTTGGATCAAAATTTCTTAAGTTCTTACCTCTTCGAGCTGTACAAAAATAGTAAAATATGGAAATATGAAACGGAAAGATTTAAAACATTGGGGAAAACAAGTATCTAAAAAGTCGTATAAAAATGGGCAGAAAAAACACTACGTTCAATTTTATTTGGCACATTTATGTAGCAGCAGTCGTGACGAATTCATTGCTCGCGGAGCTATCTCCCTACAGATACTTCGTACAAAGGAATAAACTAGTAATTGTATTTCAGGATGTGTGTTTACCCTACGTAGTTTCACCAAAATGAGGGAGAATTTCACGACTCGCGCCTTCCATATTTTTACTTCTTACGCCAACAGGTCCGATTTTTATACGTGGTGTCACCAATTTCGATTCGAAGACTGCGTGACTTACCACAAATGGGTCACGACATTCAAGCCCTGGAGCTATTAACTATTAAATCTCCACGATTTGCCCCCGAAGGGCCTGACAAAGTCTCTTCCACTCCAGCCGGGGTGGGCCAAGCCCTAAGAAGCCCCGGAGTTCAGCTGCGTGCTCCTCTCCACCTCACTCGCGACCCCTCCAACTATTCCAGGCTCGGGAGGAGCCTCGGACACCAGCCGAAGGGGCGCCCGGCCACAGCAGGGCCATAGCCCCTTCCCCTCGTCCATCACACGTCGCTTCAGCAAGGTGCACAATCTGCCCCGTCACAAACTCCACCAGCGAACGCCGGGTACGGCCGCGAAGCAGGGCAGCATCCGGTCGCCGGCCACGGCTCCGCGTCCCCGCTCCTCCACCCCACGGCGGGGACGCTGCCTCGCCCCCGCCCCCCTGCGTGTCTCCCCCCTCCCCCACCCGCGGCCTGGCCTCCAACCGACTCCCCGGGACGGAGAAGCCCTCGCCCCGCAGCCTTTATTACCCTTGCTCTCGAGCTGGCACGAAACAAGGCGGGATGCGCTCGCAGCGACCACTCCGTCTCCTTCCTCCTCAGAGTTCTAGGTCTCTGACTGAGGCAGAGTCGTCCGCAGCAAAGCACAATGGCGCCAGTCCCTCTCCCGCATCCGGCGCAGAACCAGCCGCCACCGTTAAGTGCCCCTCCCTTCTTCTCCTCCACCCCGCAACTTCACGGACTTCTTGACTTCTCGCGAGAGTGGCGGCGCTGCAGGGATCCGAGAGCCGCGGCTTGGCTTGACATACCCTGCCGCGGGGTGGTGCTCTGACTGCGGCAACCGTTGACGGGCCGCCCCCGGAAGGCAGCGAGACGCCACGGGTAAGCGGCTGAGGTTGGGCGGCCGCCTTGCTGGCGGCAGAGCCGGCTCGTGTGCGGGCGCTGGGAGCGAGAGAGCCGGCGCGGGCGGCCTGGCCCTGGTTTGTTGGCCGTCTGCGCCCGTGTCATGAGGTTGCTCCTGCCGTCCAGTGTCCGCCCACGGGCGCTCGTCCCTGGGGCAAAACTGTCAGGCCCTCTGCATAGATACTGCCCCTCTTTCATTTTCGTACCCTGTGGAGCTCGGCTAGTGGCGCAGTGAACGTTTATTGAATGAGTAAAGCACTGCCTTTCCCCTTGCCGCCTCTTTGCTGTCCTCTGCCTCCTTGCGTGATTTGACAGCAAGCTCTCCTCTACCTCTAGGGCTCTATTTGCCCAGTAATTCCCTATGATAATTGGCTCTCGTGGTGGGGCTCTTCTACCATCATATCTTTAAAAATATCTTTTAAAATCGTGGTATTAACCTTTCATAGTATAGCTACATATTTGGCAGGGGAAAAAAAGTCACTTATTTTAGAAAAAGGGGTATTGGGGCGTAGATGATTAGATGAAACTTTGAAAACAACTCTCATTGTAAATTAAGATGTACTAATAAGTAAAAGGGAATGAGGGGACAAAAAACACAATTTATGTGAATTTCACCACATTCCAATAAGTGAAATATAATGTTTTAACCTTTTTTTTTTTTTATATCGGGAATAGAACTCAAGACCTTGTGCTTGGCAGGCAGGCGTTGTGCCACTGAGCTATATTCCCCAGAACTATGATGTTTTTTATATACTTGTCATTTCATCCAAAAGAAACAGACTATCATTCTCCCCATTTTACTCTCTTATAGAGTAACAAACTGTGCTTCACTATGATAAATTAAAAAAATTAAAGTCTGATTTAAAGTTGACACAAATTCCAATCTTATAGGATATATAATGAAGATTTAGTGTGCAATATGAGATAAAGTGAACAGATAATTATTTTTGAGGAAATTAATTTGCCTTTTAAAGAAAAATACTTTTTCCAGCCTCACGGGCCATATAGAATGGTGATTATATAAAGGTATCTCACACACAACAAAGAACCACACAGAACTGATTCAAATTCTAGCTCTAAAGTCCAGCCTCTAAAATTGCCTTTACTTTGAACAATTTTTGTTCTGTTTTGTTTTTTTTTTTCTCCTGGCCCTCTATAAGAACAGTTCTTCACCCTTGGTAGACCTGGGTAGGCTTGCTGTGTGTTGCGGTTAATTACAGAATATAAAGCCCATAAGGTTGTTGAGGGGATTGAGTAAAGTGATGCATGAGTCCTTAGAACATAATAAGCATTTTATACTTGTTAGCTATTACATTCCCTGTTCAGACCACCACTGATACCATCTTTCTGGGACTTAATATTACATAGGTCCCTTAAACAGCCTTTCACATTAGTTCTACACAAGAGGAATGACTGTGATGGTACCATTTTCCTGAGCCATGGCAATCAGACCTGGGAGTGGGAACTTGTCTACAGAGCCCCCAAACTTGGCAAGGATGGTGCAGATTTTGAAAGATAATGGCTTTATCCCCTCCCAGCCCTAATGATATTGTCAGAGGTGAGTGTGGCACCAATTTACAGTGCCTATGTTAAACACAGCTTCTGGATTCTAGTTTTATATTGACGCTAGTAAATAGGTAATGGCCATCAATATGTTTCTATTCTTTAAGACTAGTTAATTGTATGTGTGTGTGTTTTAGTGTGCTCTTTGCTTTTAGTTTCCAAGCAATTATTATCAAGTAATTCTTGAGATTTTGCTATGTTAAAGGCATCTTGCTGGAAATTATGGATAGAAATAGATAAAATCATAACTATATTTTCTGAATTAAAAATCACAAAAGTGATTTGACAGACAAGTCAATTTTGAAATCAAAACTATTCTAAACAGTCTAGCCTCCATGACTGCCTTTCATGTACAGAGCTCCTCTACTTGATCTTTCTTTGCTACACTTTCATCATGTGACTGACCGTGGTACTCCTTTCTGTGTAATCTATATTCACCACTTGCCAATAACATTCACATGTCTGTTTTTTAATTTGGCTTCTACTTTAAGTTATGATCTTCTTGACTATTATTGTTTCCTCCTCTTACTTTATAAAACTTGTCTGTCATCTCTCCGTCATTGTATAATCCTTTAGTCTTGTGATTTAACTATTTTCTCTTCTACCTTATCATAGTTTAAGTTCTGTTTCAGATACTGAATTTCAAGAGTCCCTGTATTCTCTTTTTATCATTTTACAATCTAACTTTCAAAGAAGCTTTTTCTTTCTCACAAGGGAAATTGTAGAAATATTCTTTGCTTTTGTAAATATGTTGGATATGCTAAATTCTTGCAAATCATATTTTCTGAAGGGGAAAGCGTTGGTGTCTTAATGTAATTCAGGCTGGCCTTAAAATCACAGTGCCCCTTCCTCACTCTCCCAAGCCCTGGGGGTACAGACATGTACCACCATGCCTGGCTATCATTTTTAATCATAGATTATTTTTTAATATCTTCAGAGACAGAAGAGACAGAAGTGTTTATAGTAAGATCCCTAAGTTGAAAGCAATGTACGCCAATTTCTTTTTACATGGAAACCTTATTAGTCGGTAGAGAAGGGAATGTGGTGTCATCAACTAATTTGCCAACGTGCTGTTTAAATTTATAGGATGCCAGGGGTAGATTGAGGACTCCTATTTCTAAAAAATATATTACCAAATAAAAAACATATATATTGCCTAAATGTCCTTTGTTACACAATTTTGATGAAAGAAATTCTTTTCATGCTAAAAATAATAAACCCCTGTTTAATGATTTTATAAATTTTTACTTTCTCATTAAATTTTCTTATAAGGTGCCACATTTACTAAATGTACATATAAAAAATGTAGGTTGGCTTCTACTGAATTAACATTCAGTCTTCAGGGGCTGGGGATTTAGCTCAGCAGCATAAGCACCTGCCTTGCAATTGGGTGGTCGTGAGTTCGATCCCGGGTACCGATTAAAAAAAAAAACAACTTTCAAACTTCAAAGAAAATAGTTTAAAAATGTATAAAACCATAGAAAAAGAAATGCCATTCTGAACAAAGTGTAGTGACAAGTGCCTGTAATGTCAGCTACTCAGGAGACAGGGACAGGACAATCAAAAGTTTGAGACAATTTAAGGAGACCTTACCTATAAATATGTAAGAGTTGGAGTGGACGTATAGCTCAGTACCAAGCCCCCGAGTTCACTCTCTAACACATATACACACAATAAAGAATACTGTCTGGAAACCCACGCTGGGAAATCTCTCTCACACTAAAGCTTCAGTTTAGATCTCACAAGTACTCGAAAGGTCATTTCTTAATTGCTTTAGAGTATCTCATCTGGCTTGGAGCAATTCTCAATTTAAGGGGCAGGATTCCCATTCCATGTGTGAAATGCCTTTCAAACTGTCTGCAACAGAGTGACTAATAAAAGCAGTTTTATTATTGATAAAACTAGGGCTTAAAAAACTGTGGTACTCAGATCAAATCTGGCTTGGCACTATTATTGTAAATACTTTTACCGGAACACAGTCATACCCATTAGTTTATATATTTTGTGTGTATTAGGGTTCTGCAGAGAAACAGAATAAATTATATACTGTATATTATCTGTGTATCAAGAGATTTATTTTAAAGAATTGTCTAATGTAACTGTAGGGGCTGGCAAGTTTGAAATTTGTAGGGGCGAGTGGCAGACTAGAAATACAGGAATTGATGCTGTAGTTTTAAGATGAAATTTCTTTGCTGGTGAATACACTCATTACATATCACAAACATATACTAATACAAAATAATAAGAATTTGTTCTCTAAGAAACCTTAGTTTATGCTAAGACTGAATGAATAAGAGTCATCCACATATAATTGAGAGTAAACTCCTTTATTTACAGTCAACAAATTGTAAATGTTAACCGTAACTACAAAATACTTTCACACCAACACCTAGATTAATGTTGATACACTATCTGGGTTCTGTATCCTTTTCAAGTTGGCATACAAAGATAACCATCGTCTGTATATTACTGTTTTTTTCCTATAATAGCAGAATTGCATAGTTGTGGCAGAGATATAATAACACAAACATCCTAAAATATTCATTATCTGGTTCTTTACAGAAAATTTCCTGATCTCTGAAGTAAATCATAAACTGACCTCTGTTTTTATAATGGAGTTCAGGCACATATGACTACATATGTACATCCATGAACATATGTGTGCTCACACATATGCATGCACACATGCACACAAAAACTTTACAATATTAAGAAATGTGCTTGGCTTCCCATGTCGGTGGTCACTTCAGACTACATTTTATGAGATTGAAAACAAAACAGGATACTGATAAAAGTTCTTTGTATACTCCTTCTGGAAATTCTTCATCTCCCTTCTTGAAGTTTTTCATGTAAATATTTATATGCAACTCTATAAAAGAGGTTTATATATATATACTGTAGTGACTATTTTAGTGTGGTCATTTTCTTTTTTTGTTCCACTTCCTCCTCACCCCCATTTCCTTTTTAATTTGGCTCTCCTGCCTTTATATAGTGTTTCACTAACATTGATCATAACCCACATCAACAAACCACTGTTTATCCCTTAACTTTTTCTCTGCATGATCACATAATCATAGAAGGACCGTAATTGTAAATATATCTATAAATACTCATGCTTTTAAATATAGACAGTGATTTGCTGTTTACTTTTAAAAGACAGGATAAAATTTAAATATGTGTCTTCAAGGTAGCATATCGAGTGGTAAGAGCATTTGCCTAGCACATATAAGTGGGTTTTATCTCCACCACTGCAAGAAACAAAAAAAGGAAACATTTATCTTTATCTTCTTTTTCTTTTTTTTACTCATAGTACCTCTTCTTGGAAAGCCTATTTATGGTAGTTTTACTCTGTTTTTTAATTTGTAGTGAATATTGCCACTCTTCATGGTGCTTTCTTCCTCTCATATTTACTATCT